TATATATTGTTTTATAATGTCACCTCCACTGACCGTATAGTTTCACAAAAATTCCTTGAAAAAGCCCACGGACCACCAGTTGATAATTGCAGCTTATTTTGTGGCTCTGGACACATTTTATTAGTGAGCCATGGAGCAGAAATGGCTCTTTTGATTGTAAAGGTTGCAGACCCCTGGTTTAAACTAAGAAACTTCACCTAAAAAAAAAGAGGTGGTTTTGATTTTAATGGCTGCTTCTTGAAAATGGCACAACAGGGGCAACAAAATCTGTAAAAGTAAGTAGAAAATCTATACCCCTTTCTTCCTTTTAGGGTCACGGGGGTCAGTGGTGACCACATCCAGGGGCGGGGTACACCCTACACAGGTCACATGTCCATTACTGTCTCAAAATAGTGGAATAATTTCAGAATAATGTTCCTGAATTAAAAATACAAAAGACTTTGATTATCCCATCATCTCCAGTTCATGGTTTCATCAGAAATGGTTGAAGAATGTGTAGAAATGTCTGAGCTGAAAGGCTGAAAGTATAGGATGGTCCTGTCTCAGGTTGACCTCTCTGACCTCGGCTGATTATTTATGGTGTTTCTTCTGCAGGACTGAGTTTGTGGACACCTGTTGCAGTCTGTGGACATGTGTCTCCTGCCTGTGGCTTCACTCCTCATGTGTTTCTGGTTGGTGGAGAGGAGCCAGTGTAACAGCAGCTTCCAGGACAGCATGAGGGAGCTCCACCACAGGTTCGCCCTCAGCCTCTACCAGACGCTGACCGAGACCGAGAACAAGTCCAACCTCATCCTGTCCCCGCTCAGCGTCTCCCTGTCTCTGGCCCTGCTGCAGTTCGGAGCCAGGGGCAACACGCGCTCTCAGCTGGAGGGAATGCTGGGATACAGTGTGAACGGTAGGATTCGTACCATTATTTAAAGGTGTCAGCAGGAAGGGGGAAGAAGGAGGACAGCTTGTCCTCGTGTGGATGTGAGAGGTTGTCGGTGGCACTCAGTGCTGTTGGTACCAGGTGGTGTGGAGCGGTGCTGCTGCTGCTGCTGGTGCTGCAGAGCACAGTGGTGTCTGGAGCCATAATACCTGCCTCCACACCAACTCTAATCTCATTAACCTCTCCTGCAGCCTGGCCCCAGGGAAAGGGCAGGACGCCAGTTTAATTACAAACAAAGTTAAGACTTTAGCTGCATTTATTTTATTTGCTAGTCAGGGATGGAAATTGATGACATCCTATATCCCCCAAAAATTAAATAAATAAAAATTACACACACAGACACACACATATGGGTCTTCTGGGTGGGTTCTTCTCTAATGAAACGTTTCGTCTCTCCTCCAACAGACTTCTTCGGTCTGATGGTGCGTTCACACCAAACGCGATTTCAGCGTCAGGAGCAGCAGGTTTACATACAAAGTCTATGGTGGACGCG